CCTCTTTGCCTTGTCTTGCCTCTTTCCTACTCCCATTTCTTCACCCTATCCCTGTTCTCYTTAACTGTCAAATCCCAGCCTCCAATTCTTACATTTGTCATGCCAGTTCCAGTTTTTTACCCCAGGCTGGGTCAGAGCCCAAATATTTGGCCTTAACACCTTCCTTCACACAGGATAGAWAACTTCAGTCCCAACAATAAAGCTTTTAAAAATAAGAAGCAATTGCAAAAAGGCTCCTGTAGAAAGTTTCTCTCCTGCAGCAGATCTTTAACAATAGATGATGTACCCCCTACACACAAAATATAAAGACAGTTGTGTGGGAGAGTTAAAAAGGAAGAATTATTGTTGCTATTGATATCTGCATCTCTTTGAATTATAAATTAGCATGAAAGTTCTGTATGATGGCTAAGTGACAGAAAGGATTCTGAGCCAAGGCACACAAAAATAAGCAAAAAACTTTTCATTATTTTATAACAAAACAACTTTTGATACTTTAAAAACATGCTTAATAGGAGTAAATCTGAATTATTGTGCTAAGAGGTTGAAAAAAATGAAGAAAACTAATAAGCTTCAGTTCGAGTTTACAGCGAAAATGTTGGGAAGATGTTTTGTTGTATTATTTATTCACTGATATTTAGAAGTCAGCACTTCAAATCTGTTTACTTAGGTATTTTTCTTCAATCTTCAATTTCAGACAAGGTGAATTCAAACTGACAGAAAGTGACAAATCATATAAACCTATGAATCTATAATTTTCAGTTTCATTGCTTAACATAGAATAAAAGCTGAAAAGATCAAGCAACTTACATGTTTTACAAGTGCTATCTCTGATGGAGATCTTGCTTGAATAGTCTGAAATAATAAGCCCATTATTTATAACTGTCTTATAATTGAGTAACTCAGTTTCAGAATTATCCCCATAATCCTCCCCTACATACAGAAACTACATAATTGCTAGAATTCTTTAAAATTTGCATCCTCTTATTCAAGTTGAAAATGCATTGCAAAATATACTTGTGTCTCTAAAATTATAAATAATCATATTTTACAAGYAGGATAAATGAAAGCAAATTTAAATGATTGAGGCAGTGTCAGATTGAGATTGTTTTGTAAAGCAACATGCCAGTTTAGTGCTTTCTAGTCAAATGAGTAAAAAGTATTTTCCCTTCTGAAAAGGAAAAAGAAATGAAAACCACTCCAGGAAGACAAACTGCAGTCAAGACTATTTGGTGAGGTTCATTGTTGAAAACTATTTTATCCATCTGACCATTCTAGATAAGACAGTTAGTACAAAAAGGTAAGATTTGCTTCAGTGAATCATTATTCTGAGATATTACCATAACAACACATAAAACACTGTMGATAATGAGGCCATTACACAAACAAACACAAATAACTCATCAGAGCTCCATCCTCACTKCCAGTGTCAACAAATTACCAGTGTCAACACTTTCTACTTCTCTGCTTCACTGATTTTCCCTCTTAAAATTTTGACTGAAGCCTCTTCCAACTTCCTGATGCTTAAAATTACTTTCTCCTTCTTCATTATTTAGTTCTGTGAAGCAGAGACAGTTTAAAGTCAAAATCAATACCCTATATTGACTGRGGGAATCAATTAGAAGATAATCTGTGTGAAGTACAGTTAAAATGACTAGGAAAATTGGTAGGCTCTGGAGTGACATGAAAAACTCATATAATGATACTTTATACATGTATTCACTTGCACGGAGAGGATCTCCAAGTACAAACACTTCTGTATACAAGTGTCAGACAACTCCATCAACTATCACAAATTTACAGAGCCAAACTGAAGTACAATGTGGGAAAGCAACTTGCTTACAGATGGTTCAACTGAGAAGAGAACCCAAGATGTATCATATAGCCTTGATAGATTTCAGCCCTTCACTAATGCACACAGTTCTACTTTTTTAGTTCTCTAGGTTACAGTGTCTCTCACTGTACTGCAGGTATACACCACTTAAAACTTGTGTGCCCTTTTTGTTTTGAAGCTTATGCTATCATCTGCCTTCCTGAAGTGCCTGCTATTCATGTAACATGATAAAACATATTATTTACACTAAYCCTGATGTCAATTCAAGTTTTTACTCCTAATCAGAGCTTGTAACATCAACTTGGATGACAATTTTAATTGCATAATTTGCCACCAGATTACTTTTGAAAGTAATTTATGCACCTCTTCACCAATTAATAATTAGATTTTGCTCTTAATGAAAACCTTGCCATGTAGGTCTGAGGACTGATGCTGATGCTTACAGCTATATCACAGTTCATAACTAACTTTCTGTAGAATGTTGGCCGGTAGAAACGTGTCTCTCAACTGTTCAGGTGAATGTTTGTTTTTAGCTTTTAAGCAGTGGTCAGTGCAGAAGCAAAATTCACTTAGAGTTKTCTCTAAACAGAATGGCTAAGTCAGGAAGTTTAGCTTCTCTCAAGGCTGCTTTGCTATAAACTGTATCAGCCAGAACTCCTAATTTGCTGGAAAATTAAACCAGCCCAGTTCTGCTGGGCAACATTTTGTGCAGTCGTATAAGTAAATAAGGGGCTGTATGCTTTTCACATTAATTGTAGTTTAGATGAAGATTACCATTACTTTTAATGATTACAAAATATGCTGCTGTTCTAATTATTGCACAGGCACATTCATACATTTACATTTATGAGTTCATCTGGAAGGCTTGAAAACAGTTATAAGAAAGAGAAAGCTGCAGTTCCATGGCTCCAAGTATTTTGAAGAGAGGCTTTAAGTACAGCTATAAGAATCTCTTGGAAGCCAATGGGAGTTTCAGTAAATCAGTTAAAAATTTGYGAAAGAGTCTGGGCTGCAAGCATCCAAGAAAATTGGCGCATTTTACCAATCTTAGAGCTAGAGCTTCACTGCGGGAGACACTCATATTCACAAGGATAATATTCAGCACTCAGAGAATAGATATATCCTGTTTTGRATACAGTTCTGAAAGCTGCTCCTTATTAATTAGATGATTTGTTACTCACACATGTCCTGCAAAAGTCTTGATCTCTGTTTTTCTGAAGGCTGGAGGACCTCATTGTTAGSTTGAAATACACTCCTTATTCAGCARARAGAACTCTTCTSTTCCTTGATTTAGTAATTTAAACTGATATTGGTAATAGTGAAGAGAGAGTGCAACATTTTMTGAGGTYTAWACCACYAGCTCTTACTGGAAGAGGTCTATGTTTTGCAATTGGAATGATAAAAGAATGTGATGTTGATTTCTTCTGGCATAAAAGGTGATGCATATGTTCCACTGGTCAGTGAAGAGCCTCCCACTCCCACTAAAAATCCTGTTTCTGAGTGTCTCAGCAAAAGAGAGTTTTTTTAATCTCAATCCTCCAGCAATTACATAGTTAATTGCAGGAATCCACCCTTACTCCAACTCTGATACAGATCTGCCTTATACTCATTAAGTGTGACTGAAAGTTTGTGTAAGACTGGGTATAAAACCAGTGATGAGTAATTTTATTTGTTCCAAATCACTGCRGTAGTAATTCCAAGAGGAAAATAGTTATTTGAGTTCCGAACAATGACAGAAAAATCTCCCAAAAATAAAATAGTAATGTGAAATATAARAATAACCAAGAATGTTCTACATTCCTACACATCTCTTGACCACTTGATATGCGAATGCAGAGTTGAAAATGACTCCTGGATTCATGACTCTCTTCCATGGTTGTTGAATTCTAGTATGAACTGAGCCTCAGTGGAAAAAGGATAAGATTAAGAAAAAAACAATCCCACAGGGATAAAGAGAGAAACACATATAAAGGAATTGACGTTTTGGAAGAAAATAGCAGCTGAACAAGGTACATAAAGACATTTCAAAAGATTAATACCTGTAAGAGTGGAATTAGATGTTTCTCCATCCTGGGAAATTGCAASACTTACTCAGGTCTCTGTTTTGAACACAGTATTGGCAACTTCACTAAGTCTTGAATCAGTCTCCAAAACCATTACATTTACCACKGTGCTTCTAGTTTCAACCACACCACGTGTTGTTTAGTTGACTGATGTATACACACGATCTGGGCAACCAACTGATGGCTTTTGAGCTGAGATTCACCCATTCTTCCCTCATTAGAGACCTTCCTCAATCATAGAAAAACAGTATYCGTGTCTTTGTGAATCAAATGACCAGGAGACTGGTCTCTTATTCTCAAGTAACACAAAAGGCACAATTAAATCCTAACACGTACCGACATTATTGACATAACTGAGGTGAAAAGGCGTACTGACATTATTGACATAACTGAGGTGAAAAGGCTGCGTTATGATCTTTGGAAGATTATTTGGCTGTATACATTTCAAATAAGTCAATCCTCAATTTTATAATGGAAATAATGAAGCTCATTATATCTGATTTCATCAGAACAACCCAAATGATGAAGTTACAACTCTCACACAATCTCATCGTTATCTTTTCTTTGTTGATATGCAACACTCATTGATTTCTTCTGATCTCTCCTTTTCCGGAATCTTTGCACCAGCCACATCACTGTCATTCATTCCCCTCACTTTGTGCAATGAATCTTTACGTGCTGAGCCGGTTTTTAAGCTGGACTCATCAAGCCAAGGAGTCCTCAGTCCTACAGAAGTGTGATCCCACCCTGTTGCCCTCCTTWCTTTGCCTGTCCTGAGACCCCACCCAGGTTATGGGCGAGGACGGAGCCCTGAAAACTCCGCTCTACATGGGAAGCGCTGAGCGAAAGCCGCAGCCTTTGAGGGGCAGCCTGAGCTGCCCGGAGCTGCCGGCCCCTCACCGCCCTCTCCCGCTCTCCCCTCTGCCTGCCCTGAGGGCTCGGGCGGTTCCCGCCGCTCCCGCCGTGTGGCGGCCCCGGGCCAGTGGGCGCGGCGGTCCCCGCCGCCAGCGCAGCCCCCTGCCCGCCCGGCTCCGCCCGCCACAGCCGCCTCGCCTCGCCTCCCCTCACCTCCCCTCCCGCCCGGGTGCCGCCGARCCGAGGCGCCGATCGGGCAGCGGGCTGGCGGCCGCGCCATGAGCGCCGAGTGCAGCAGTTACCTCAACGCCGACAAGGTGCTGGTCAGCGGGTTCAGCTGCCCGCGGGCGGGCGGCGACGCCCGCGCCGTGTTCTGCTGCGGCTTCCAGGACGTCAAGTACTGCTGCGATGACCCCCACAGCTTCTTCCCCTACGAGCACAGCTACATGTGGTGGCTCAGGTARGGGAGCGGCGGTGCCTGCCCTGGGAGAGGCTCCGGGTGGGAGCTCGGCTCGGGTGTGTGCTTGTGAGGTACTTGGTAGCTGGGCACTTTCAGGCTGCCTTTGTCCCGCCGAGAGTAGCGGTAGAGCTGCATCTTTAACCCAGAGAGAGTTTTGCTCGTGCCAGGGCARTTTCTGAAGGAAATAACTCGTGGTCTTCGTGAGGAAGCTCTGGGAAACGCTCGGTGCCTCTGGCAGAGCATCGGGAGCATCTCCCGCCCTTTGGTGTGAGGGGAGCGGCTGTCTCGGGGCCTGAGCGCGTAAGATGCTGCGTGCATAAAGTTCCCAGTGACTTAAGCTACTTTTCCGCGTAAGATTAAGTACCACGTAACTTTCCACTCGGAAGGGGCAGATAATGAGCGTGGTGCTCTCCCGGGATAGTGCGAGGATCCGCGTGGCTCTGGCTGGATCTCCAGCAGCGMAGGGAGAGCTGCACTCAGCCAGCCCGGCTGCTTTCTGTGCCTCATCCCCCTCGGGCTCCACAGGATCCACGCTGGCTCTGTCAGGCTGTTAGTACATCTCTGCATRGGGCTTTCACGATGTCCTTACGGACTTGTTATCCTTGATTTTGACAAATCCCCTTCTGGGCTTGCTTATACTGTGCGCTCCTGCAGTCCTGGTCGCAGCAGTCACTACCTGCTGYTTGAAGATAGATCCTGTTATCTGTTTCATACTGTTCCCTACTAGTTTTCCTGAGTGCCCTCCAGTATTAGGATTGTGAGATTTGGTGAACAGCAGTTGCAGCTTCAGTTTATGCACTGTGTTTAAAATGCTGTAAGCATTATTTTGTGTATCAATTCTCAGCTTTCACCTTTCCAAACTGAATAGCTTTTGGATTATCATTGAGGCAGATGCTAAATCACACCAGTTGTTTTAGCTGCGTCTCATCCGTACTGTTTTTCACTCCACAGTGCTAATCTGAAGGGTTCATAATCTGGAGCTGCATGGCCARGGTGTGGGTGTGGCAAGGTTCTAGAGTGGCCAAATACTGCCTCCAGTCTTGCTCTCAGAATCCTTCCTGCTGGTGGCTAATGTGTGGTTGATGCTTTTGGCTGCCAGTTCACAYTGACTCCATGATTTCAGTGAACTGTCACTGAAGACTCTAAAACTTTTTTTTGAGTTCAGAACTGTGTCAAACTGCTCTGAGTTTATGGCTATGTAGGTTTGGTTTTGTTCTTTATACGTTACATTATGTGCACTGGAACTCAAGTACATCACTTTTGCCTGTTCACTCAGTTTTCTGGAAGTCTTCTAGCGTTCCTTACCTTCAGCATTTGATTGCTTGGAGGGGCTTAGGGTCATCAGAAGTCCAAACATCATTCTTCACTAGGTCATAGATGAAGATATGAATAAAGATCAGTCTTGGCAACTTCTCTTTRCACTGAAAAGAGACCACTTAACCTTGCACTTTGCTCCTTACRCTTTTGAACAGACTTAAATTTGTAACAAAACCTTTCCCAAATCCTGTGTAAGTTCAATCTTTTTAACCGCACTTTGAGTGCAGGGCTTTGTCCAAAGGCTTTTTGAGACATCTAACTCTGTCTGCTGGGTTCCTTATCCATCTGCCTATTGGCACTTCATAGACTCCAACAAGGCAGTGTTTTCTCCTCATCCTAATGCTGATCCTTTCATTAAAGATTTTATGTCATGAAGCTGCAAGTGCCAGCAGCTTCCTGTTGGTAGAGCATGGAAACCAGATGGATGGGAGTAGAGACTTCACCGTCAAAGGACCTCTCCCTCATATTTGGGCAAGGTGAACAGGCTTGAACATGATAGCCAGGCTCAGATTCAGTGCTGTGCAACCAGCTCAGCACSCTGATGTTGTGTTTACCTCTTGGCTTGGTGATACTATTTTTATTTTACACATCTTTCTGTCTTGCAAGGGGTGGAATTCAGGTTAATTGGTCTGTAGTTCCTGGGCTCCCCTTTAGAGCCCTGTTATAGGTTGGAGTTACACCAGTCCCCTGTTACATTGGTCTTATGTAATGATGCCCCGACCAGCAGCTCTGCAGTTTCACATGTGAATTCCTTCAGGGCTGGTGGGTTAATGCTATCCAGTGCTGTGGATTTATTAATTTAATTTATTTGTTCTAATGTTTAATGTATTATCATTTAAAATCTACTTTGTCTTGTACAAAGAGTGGGTTGAAGGTGGGGGGATCTCCCAATCGTCCACTGCTGTGACTGACACAGAATTACTTGGCTTATCTGATGTGAGAAGACATCTCCAAGTTTTACAATTCTGCTATCAAATACTCATACTGTTCTAATGTTACATTTTTGCATAGTCTTTGACTGTATTGGTCACAGTAAACCTTCTCAAGATGGCAGAACTACTGAAAGATGAAGTTAATAAAGTTTTGCATCACACTATCTCATCTGGATGATGAGGTGTTGTAATAAAGATTCTTAAAGCTTGATCTTTCCAGAAACTCCAAGAACGGAATCCTGGGAGAGGCTTTAATGAAACACCTCTCTGAAAGCTCCTCCTTTAAAAAGATTTTGTAGGGTCTGAGAAATGACTGCTTTGCCTTTACCTAAGTCAGAAATTTGGGCCCAAATGTTGAAAATTGAGGATTTTTGTTTCTTCTTTGTACAATAGCCCTAAGCTGCTAAAAGTACTCAAGGACATTGCCATTTATGGAGTTTGTGCTTAACTTCTTCTATAACTGACTATATTCACTGTAGAAAATAGGTGAATAAATACAATTTATCTCTCTAAGCAAAGTTACTGAGTGGTTAGAATAGAAATTTCTGTTTCCATAAGTGTTTTCATTGACAAATCAAATCATTTTTAGTTAGTAACACACTGAAAACATTATAATATTGCATGATTTTGAAAACCGTATTTTTTCACATTATAGTTCAATTAGGAGTTAAAGGAAAATATAAAAATAACATTTTCTGTCCTCTTAGAATGTTTAGGTGATCACTAGACTGCTACTAATATTGGTTGGTAAGAAACATATGTTAAAAATAACCCTTAAAAGGCTTCTTTCAGCCTTTGAGGACACGCTTTTAAAACTTGAAACTCTTGAGATTTAAAAATRTACAAGAGTTAGCCAAACCAGCCAAGGTAAATCTGGAGATGGAATGTACTGAGGAAGGGAAAGCAGCTGAAAGCTCTGATGGGGGAATTGTTTCAGGTTTTGCTGTACTCCAGAGCTTTAAATCTTCAGGTGCTTGACTCCTTCCAGATATTTGAAAGCAGTGACTGACTGTGCTGCAAGTGCTTGGAGATACCTCAGGGATTACTTCAGTTTGGTGACACACCAGGTAGAATTTCAGGAAACTATTGCACATTTCATTTGTGTTTTTCCTGCTGTGGGAGTGGCATGGCCAGACCCCTTGGCATCCAGCTCTGACAGAAGCAGTGCATGGAGAAGCCAGCAGCCTTGGCAACCTGAAGCAATAGTCTCTTGCAGGCCTATGCTCTTCTTTATTCTTGCCRAATCTACTGTCTGTACTATGTTTAGAACCAGCTGCTGCCCTATCCCTTAGCAACATGGAACCCTCTTTTTCCCTCCCACTTCTGCAAAAATTGCAATATTTAACAACATCCTAACACCTTCTGGACTATCGTGGATAGCAGACCGTTGAGCAACTCTGACACATTTCATATTTCCCCTGGCATTTATTAATGTAATTAATATTATTAATTTCTGACTTAGCCTTTTTTTTTATTTTGGGCTGATATTTAAAATCAAAGAATATAGTTACTTCTACTTTTTTTTGTTAGATCATATATCTTGAAAAGCTGATTTTAGCAAAGAAGTGTGAAGGATGCATTTTGCTGTCTTGTACAGCTGTCAGGAGTGCACGGAACAGGGAAAGCAACATTAGGAAAAGGCAGAATTCATCAGAAGGTTATTCAGCTTTTGAAACCACAAAACAGAGATGCTATAAAACACCAGTGAGCAAAACACTGAGCAGCTCAGCCTSCAGAGCAGTGTGCTGTGCATGTACATGCAGTTAGCACATCTGCTTTACCTCCCAAGCTGAGTGGAAGGGGACAAATGCTGAACATGTGATATTTGTACTGAACTGGTTATGCAGCAGTTATGTTCAGTCAGCCTTCTTGTTTCTCCTTGTTTTTAAGTATTTCAGGTTTATTTTTGTCACTTTCCTGTGGAGTTTTATTTTGCAAATTTAATGTCATCTTTCAGTATCAAATAGAAGTATATTATTCATTCCAAAGCTGTATCTTTTAAGATRCATGTAATAATACATATTTGATTAAAATTCTGTCAAGCCAAGTATAGATTTTACGCAAAATGTTTTCTTAATTAATACCCATAGAGCCATGGTGGCCTAATACTGAGGCCAAGCTTTGCTTGGCTGTASCAATCTCCAGGATTCTGTTTTGGCTTTCCAAAATAGCAAGTATTTAGTTTCTCTGTGCCCATTCTTCCAGTCTCTTGACAATATTTATCTGTATGCTTTGCAAATACTATGAACAACACGTCACTGCAACAATAGCATCGGGAACATTTGATTTACTCTGATCCGGGTGACTCATGAGCTTCCTTTTAGTCAATCTGTGGGCAATACTGCCTCTGCTCAGCCAATATTTAAATTTTCCCTGGCTATTGCTGGTGTGGATGGAGTAATTTTATGGACTAAAAATAACTGTAGGTGTGTGATGCTGAGCATCCACTGRCAGACAAGTCGATGACCCACTCAGCAGCTCTCTGGACAAAGCTTGGGGAGCCCTGGGGAGGCTGCTGGTGGAGTGGAGCCTCTCTGCTGAGTGAAGCCTTCAACTGAAGGCCTGGATGTGGCAGTCAGTGTGTAGGAGCACGGGTGAGATGTGTGCTATAGCTCTGTTTTTATGTGGAAAGTAACTTGGGGGAGTTCTGTTTGGCCTYGTTTGGATTTTCTACCAAACTTAACATTGCTCATGGTCAGGGTTATCTCTAAGCCTTCTTTGTCATCTTTATGCCAGATCATTGCCTTGGGATTGAGTGGGTTGTTAATGCAGAGAGTTTTGCTCCCTAATGAGGCCACAGCTGTGGGAAAGAGGGACTTTTTAGTTTACTAAAAAGTATGTTTAATGTCTGTGCTGTCAGAAGGCTGATTTTGAAGAAGYACACGGAGACCTGCAGACTGTTACCATGTGGCTGCTGATTGGCCTTCAGACAGTGTTTAATGTAAAGAATGGAGCAAAATGCTTTTAGCAAGGGCTTTTCTATGCAGATATGCAGCACCACAATAATTGCTGTAGAATCTAGAGCACATGCTATAAAGTTGTCTTTATTTTCAGAGGAGTGTAAGTATTATTTCGTCTTTTGTTTCTGGTAACAGCTTTAACTATTGAAAAGAAAGAAAATGTTGTTTTCTGGTTAAGAATCATCAGTATTCWGAGCTGCGGAAGACAAATTTCTGTGGATTAGATAAATTAAGAATCAACCCTCCATCCCCAAACTTTAACTCATATTAATCTTATAGAACTTAATTATGCCTTCTCTGTGGGTTGATGGCTTCAGCGATTTAACAACAATCTGGTATTGAAACATCGTGTTTAAAAAGAGTAAGTACAAATTGTCCTGATTTCTGATTCACTCAGGGAGTGGAATCAGAGTATCTATTTGGTTTTGTAATACTGGTGAGATCTTCTCATCTTGTTGCTTAACCATGAGAAACACTTCTGGTAGCACATAACCTGTGATGAGTCTTTGACCGGGAGAGTTCCTCAGGAGTTGTTTGTCTTACCTTTGCCATTTGTAACTCACAAAATGTCTTACACAGGTTGTGTAGTGATACTGAAGATGCATTGTGCAATACACAATGTATATTGTGTTGTTCATATCATCTTCTTCAGCTGCATGGAGGAGAGAAGTTACAGTTTCCTGAACAGAAAAACGTATAATTATTAATATGTACTTGATCTGTTCAGCTTTAGGGCAGCTGACTGTTCCATGTTCGGATAATGGTGAGCAATCTCCTTAGATTGGAATTTAAATGGAATCTTACAATAGGGCTCRTATTGTCATGAAAAAATATCAGATAAATGTTTCTGAAGGGCCTTGTTTGTATCAGTTGATTCTATGACTGTTCAGCCTCCTGTAATGTTGTGTGTTTCTTCTGTTTTCTCTATTTGGGTCAAGGTGTTCCAAGTCAAAATGCAAAAATAAGGCCAGAACCCAGGTGAGATYTCTGACTGTAGGTCACATTCAGATTCCATAGTAAGCAGAATATTGCTTGCTTGCAAGTTTTTGTTTGAGCCAAAAAGCAGTAAGGAAAAATTTGCTTAATATRTGCATATATGCACAAACACATAAGGACACCCTAGTTGATGCAGATGATAAATACCATGAAAAACGTTCAGAAGGGTAAAGCTGTTCTTTCCAGAACCATTTTTGCTGATAAAAAAATATTTTASCTGTGCATAGAGCTAAATGTTGCACAAGCTTCATTACTGAAGCTGGCCAGTAACTAATGAAAACTGGACGTGAAAGTCATAGCGATATCTGATGTTCTCATCCCACTGATTTTAAGAGTTTCTCCTGTGGACATATCTGTGTGCTGGTGCTATGGGAGCTTGTAGAGAAGCTTTGCAGTAGCTTGAATGTAAAATTCATAAAAACATCCCTAGGCACAATTCTTCTCATCTCCCTGCAAGGCCACAGTAGAGTTGACTTCTCACTGATAGCAGCGATATATAAAAGCATTTTTATGACTAGAGGATGGAGCTTGTAGAATTCAAGACATTCATCTCTCTTCTGTCCTTTTGACATCTGTCAAAATTGTAAATGTACCAGAGCAGTAATAGAAGGATTCTCAATCCTCAGACTCTTCCTCTGTGACCAAAAGGCTGCTGTTTAATTTCACCAGAAGTCAGGATCTTTGGCATRGACTGTAAAATAGAGGACTGGAACATGGAAGGCATCAAATGGCCCAGGAGWGTGTAGGAAATGATAGCTAGGCTGTAGTGTATTAAGACCTTTATTTCATCATGAGAATTTTATATTARGAAAAGACTTGAAAATAAGGGTTGGAAATARGGAGAGRTTTCTGTRTATACATGTACTGTCTCACTGTATGCCTGTGGGAGATGTATAAAGTAGCTTTTATCCTGCAGGACTAGTACCTTAATAAAATCTACAYMTAGTACTGTATGCTTGGCTTCCAGAGTAATTAATTCCTGCTTCTTAGATRTCTTTGATGCTGTGTGTAAACTAATTCAACTTTAGTTTTCCTTTTACTGTGAAGATCATGAGAGAATTTCTCTAGTCTTGATTGGAGATTTATTGCTTTAACACAAAGGCACAGCAGTGATCAYGCTACTCCACCCTGCTCTGTAGAGCTATTCACAGAATTAAATAATATAGCTTGCATGTCTTTTATACTATAAAAATGGCATTTTAGACTGAAAATATAGCTTTAGTAGCCATGTTGTTTGAGCTGCCCAGAGCCCTAGAATCCCTCTGTATGTATGCATGTGATATTTTGAATATCTAGGAATATGTATTGCACTGAAGAACTTTTTAATCTCACTGATGTCAGTTACTGCATGAAGTTATTTCTGATTTTCATAAATATGCTTTAAATCAGATGCAGAAGTTGTATGCAGGAAATGTCACTGAGGGCCAGATGTTAACCTACTGTGTAATGACATCGACCCTTCTGAGGGCAATGAAATAACTGCAGCTTATGCAATTGAAGTTTTGAGCCCTAAACTGTTGTTTACAGTAAAATACACAGTTACTCCTGTGCCTGAGTACAAGTGAACTCGAGACATCATCTTGATCATGGTTTTAATGGATATCCCAGGCTGTCTGTACACTTGATTTCTTTGTTCTTCTCTCTTAGTGTTGGAGCACTCGTGGGCCTGTCGATAGCAGCAGTGGTCCTCTTTGCTTTTATCATCACTGTGTGCGTTCTCTGTTATTTGTTTATCAGCACCAAGCCACGCAGCAAACTGGATCCTGGTTTAAGCTTACAGATGGCAGGTAAGACCAGTTGTTATTGATGTGCATTATCACCTGCAGAGGAAAAGCCTTACTTCGTGTTTAAATGGATGTGGAGGAATCCAGCAGTGTTTATTTTCTTTCTGATGGGCATGTCAAGATGTAATCAAGCTATCCTGCTGTTTCACCTGCTTTGTGAAATCTGTGCCAAGCTCAAAACATTTAATACAAGCTCAGAATATTTCTTTAGTAGTAGGAAGAGTGTAAAAGTTTGCAATACTGAGTGAGGGTGCAACAAATAAGCCCCTTTGTCAGAAAGAGGCTTAGTGACTTAGTCGCTCTGAATTTCCTGTCAAGAGTCTATAAACATATAGTAGTGATTCATTCTAGGAATAAGAATCTCAGRAGAGATTTTAAATGTATTTTCTTGTGACAGAGAGAGATGATTCTTTTTTTTTCCTTTCTTCCTGACATAGGATCCAGTCTTTGAAGCCTAAGACTTTATGTTCCAGTACTAGTAGTCCACACCTTTTGTGCCCAGAGTGTGTTGACAGATGCCTTCAGGAACAGTGCATATAGTCAGAACTAACCCACAGGAAAACCTGCTGCTGCTGCTCCAATTCATTATATTTGTGAAATCTAACTGCAGTCTTGGTGGGGTGCAATAAGTTTCATCCTTTGTCTTGGACTTCCTAATTACTTAAATGTGGCCTCAGCAGTTCCAGCCAGTAAAGCTGTAGGAAATAAAAGGACTGTTGTAGTTACTTGGGCATTGGAAGTTGAACAAGTTGGAATAGTGGAATAATTCTTGGAAAAAAAAAACCTGCCTCAAATTTACTTTTTACTTGTTATTTTAAAATGCTTCTATACCTGCATGGCAGTAAATGACCAATCAGTTACTGAAGTTACTGAGTTACTGTAATTATAGCTCATTATACWGCAGTAAGCCCCCTCCTGACTGTCTAGTTAACACAGTCCACTTCATACCAACTTTCTTATGTCTAATTTTGTTCTCCAGAGAATGCAGGCTTTGATTTAAAAGTGGTTCATAGAGCTGTCAAGAACTGCAAAGCTTCCCTTTGTAGCTGTATAAGATGAGCAAGCTGCTGAAGTCACACATTCAGAAAACTGCTACTAATCTGAAAATTGAAAACTTCACACTTGTACTGGAGAGAGAGTGGAATTAAGACCTGCTACCTAGAACAGCCTAAATAAACTCTTGGGTGGGATGAACAAAATGCTCTCGTGCTCTTCTACAAGATGGTTGTGTTTTAATTATAAACTGGCATTATGCTTTTAAACGTGATGCTGTTTAACTTCTTCCCTCAGGTTTTCCTGCTATGGCATCAGCTCTAAATTCATTGCTAGGACAGCAGTGCTGTATTTCTCATGCCTTTTATTTTTGTGCCAGACATGTTTGGCACATGGGGAGCTGGGAAGGAKGCAGGTGCTATTGCACCACTGCCAAGAAATTCCATCTTTCGGTATGGACTCGAGCCCTGCTGCAAACCCACATCCTGCTTGAGTAGTAAAGGTTGTTCCTTTCTTCCTATCATGAGGGGAACAGCATCCCACGTTCCCCCACTGATGACCCAGTATTCATGTATTTATTCCATGTCCCAATTCCAAATGTTACGAATCCAGGAAGCTGAGAGCCATCTCCTGTGCGGTTTGGAGCTTCACTCAGACAAATTCCTTTGTGTTTAAACATGGCTTTGACTTTGCTCTCCTGTATTTTTCATTTTTTTTTAATTCTGATTCTTTGGCTGCTTCAAATGACATTTTTTTCACATCTAAATTCTGATAGCTTTGGCAGTTGTTGAGGTAGGTTGCTGGAAATTGAAAGCCAGTTGCTTTGCTGAGGTTGAAAGATCTTTGGATATATTTTAGGATTTCATTGGCAAGCCTGAGTGCTTGTCTTCATCATATTTGGGTTTCTTTCACACAGAAGTCGTGCAAGGGCTGAGTGTCTGACAAGATGGCTGGTTAGCTGCTTGCAGGCCTGGGGAACAAAAACAGCCTCTCTCTTAATCTTTCAGTTCTTCTGGGATTTCAGCATAACGTTGTACAGGCGATAAAAAAAAATAGAATAGTTAAACCAGTTTTTAGATGCTTTAGAGAATTGAAGGCCCAAGGACCATGACTTTTGATCATGAACTCAGTTCAACACAGCTTCTTCTGAGCCAGCATGATTTTGCTTTTAGATGAAGGCTGTGTTGCAGTTTAAGTGTTGTGCAACATCTGTATCCCTGAACCAGTATATTTTTTTATATTCAATTTCACCCATAGTACATCAGCTCAGTTGGAGTTTTGTATCTCATTAARCATACAATTGATTATTTTATGCCTTTCCTACCTCACATAATAGTCTAAGTTGGTCATTGTTCTGTGGGCTTATCAAAGATCTCCTAAATATGCAAGTGGAATGTTCAATTTTTACAGAAATTATTTCAAGATCAATGATAAATCTAACAATAAAATGAGTGTGAAGCCCTTTATTAAAGTTTCTAATTCTACGAAAGGCGTATCAACTGGAATTTGCCTCTGTTTAGACTTGAAAAAATGGTCTTCCAAAGCATCACCACCRATAATACAGAAATACTTCCTGAKTTAGCTAAGGATGTTTTAGCCTTAGCAAAATCTGTCATTTTAATCTGAGGACTGAAATCTAAGTAAAATGAGCTCAGTCACTGGTATAGACAAGGAAGAACCACTTAAATRTTAGCAGAATTATAAAATTCTATTCATAGTGTCCTAGGGTAGAGTGCAGRGTTGATCCATAATATGCAAGACAGTATGTGCAGGCAAAGGAGAAAATCCCTTATTTCAGTTGCTCTATAAGCTTTTTTAAGAGAAAGTATTTTTCACTGAACTCGTTGTAGATGTTTTGTTTCCCCTTCGAAGGCTGGACAGTGGTAAAAAACTGTTACAGTGGTGAAACAGTGGTAAAAAGGCCTCAAAGAAATCCAAGCCCTGAGTACGCAAATATTATGTATTTATTCAAGTTGAAAGAGAATTTGGTCATGTGCTTTTTTCTTCTTCTAACAAAAAACTTGTCTTTGTGCAAAAGGTTTATTCCCTATAAAATATGGGGAACTAGGAGGTCACAAGGTTGCAAGTGTTTTGTTAAGGCTGAGTGAATAATGCTGGAACATCTCCCCAGTCAGGTCAGAAGTGGTAAACAGGGCAGAAAAGGAGAAACGCAGAGGCACATCTGCTGTTCAACTCTGGGAAAGGTGTACGTACCTTTGACCAGGCAGCTGATGGGAGAGGAGTGATCATCTCTGCTGGCTCCTGAGAATGCCATCAGAGATATAAAAGGTAGAGAGAGACTCTTCACCTTGGTGACCCAAACAGTTTTTAAACACATTTTCTGAGTTGCCCCTGCCTTTCTGCCAGGTCTGGAAAGACCTTTCAGATGAAGTGTTCTGAACCACTGCAAAACATGAATAGCAAATTACATTTTATGATGGAAACTAATACTTTTCCCTTAAAACTTAGCACAGGAAGACCTCTGTAATGCATTCAGAGTCAGACAGCAGGGACCTTTGGGTTGGAGTGTGAAAGAACTGTGGTCTTGTAAATTAATCATAAGTGCTGGGAAAAATGTGCTTTAATAGAAGTTATTAATTCCTTGTTCTTGCAAAGTAGTGACATCATAATATGCGAAAGTTCATGGTTTCATTTCATAATAARGAAAAACACAGCTTGAAAAAGAGCCAGGGGGCTTTCCTGTCCCTATTTCTCTCCTTAATTAAAGWTTCCTCATGGGACATGATTCAAATATATGAAATATTCAGGTATTTTGATGAAAAAGCACAAAAATTGTCCTTCTTAGCTCAGTACAATTATCTGACTATTGGCTGTGAAAGCAGATAGGTGCTGTCTGAATTCAGATGCACTGCTTGGCTTTTGGGCCATGAATTGATAACTTTGCCTTCTAGGTTTAGGAGTAATATCAGCTGTCTGGTGTTCTTGTAGCTGGCTTTAAATTTTCCCCAGTTAGGCTACTTTTATCTTTGCCARTCCCCTTTGTGGGGAAACATCTGCCAAATGGGCTCAACTGTTATAAAAAATACTTTTTTCTTTAGGAAATAAAGAAAAAATCCATTTTCGAGCTGGGAATTCAGATTTAGTGGAAGAGTACATCATTAGGAAAGATTAAATTTTGAAATGTTTTTATTGGACTCCTTAGCTTTTAKACTTCCCAGGCTTCCTTGTAACAGTGAGTTTTTTGCAGCTTATTAGGAGTCAGGTTTTTAACCAAATATACCTATAGTTGCTGTAGGCTTCAAAAATAAAATGYCTTCCTCTGTAAGTGAGAAAGATACTTTTCTTCTTTTTGGATTTGTTTTTTATCAGCTGAAATAACTTGGTTTCAACCAAKATCTTAGCTTAAATATTACTGTGCAGATTTTTTTAAATGTTAAAMTATCAAATGCCATTTTTGCATTTTTGAAACTGAACTGCAGCTTTTTCAACTMAAACAAAATAAAATGCAGCTTTCAAAACACTTCAATAACAAATAATCCCCTTTCCCAATCTACTTTGTTTCAGTTTCTTATTAAATTAAAATATTAGTATTCTCAACTCGTCATCCCTTTTGAATAAAGGGAACCTGGTTTTCAATCCCTTCCCTACACACTTGTTTAGAGAAGAGTACCCGGCCCAGTTAAGTTTATCTTTTCTCTTCTCTTTGTGTTGGCCCACACTTGGGGAAGTGGAAAATGAGGTCAAAGAGAGTGTTGAACTAGAGGGTAATGGGAAATACAGGGAGGCCTGGGAGGAAGATTGATGAGYTCCATAAGGAGAATTAGATGACAGGATAAAGCAGGGAAAGGCTTTGGAGCTGGTAGATAAAAGAGGAAACTGCAAGGAGCTGAATGCTCCTGGGACCSTGTGGGAGAGGGATGGGACTAATGGAGCTGAGAGCAGCAGAGCATGGAGGCAGCAATACCAGAGCAGAGGGAGAAAGTCCTGGGGGCCAGGAATTGGGACAGTGGCTGTGGGTGGGCTGGGGAGCAGAGACAGGGTGCTTGGGGAGAGAGAGCCTGGCAGATGGGGAATCATGTRCAGGGTTGAGATTTAGGGCAGAGAAAAGGGAGGAGAGACTCCAAATATCACCTGTTGTTCATAGATATGGGGACTAGCATGGGAAGCATAGTAGAAGAAAATTGTACTGGAAACAGAAAAGGACTGGAAACAGAATGAGGAAAGTGGGAAGGCAGTGAAAGAATGAATATCAGGTAAGAAAGAAAATAAATTAAGGTGAAAGYTTGGTTAGGAAAGTCTTTTCTTCTAGAATTTTGTTTTCTCAGCTGTCTGCAGGGAGAGTATCTCCTTTGCTGCAGTGATCCACTGCAGGRCTGCCTTTGCTTTAGTTACTCTGATCAGTTGGGCAAACTCAAATTATCTGCCCTGAGTCAAAAGATTGCCAACCTTCTGCTCCAAGCAGGTGTCTGTATCAGTTAGCTGGTGGAATTGTGATSAATTATTACTTATGTTGACCTATGAAGTTGTGCTCTGAAGAACAATGTTCAAATGCTACTAAGCTTCAAAACGAAAGGCTAAAAAGATGGGAGATGCCAGAACCTAAGATTTAGTGGGAAACTGGTAAAATGTTTAACTAAAAAGGGCTTTAAGTGCTCCTGACATTACTTTAATCTTTCTAGAAAGCATAGGTAAGGCTTCTTTTATGCAAAGGCATATTGTGACTTCCCCACATACACATACACAGAGCTTTGGGGTCACTGGATGGAGGTGCACTGAAAGCAACAGTATATGACTATATCCAGAGAGGGATGAGAGTTTAGGGTCTATTTTCTTGAATATGGGAAATATTTAATGCAATTTCTTTCAGGAGATTTCCTGCTACAAGTCCAACTTATACCACAGTGCTGCTACCTTAAACTGCTCTTCACTTTGATGTTTATTCCTTTTTAATGCAAGTAAGTTAATAATTGCAGCCTCCCTRAGGCCCAGGAATGCAAAGAGGAATGGGTTTGATCTGTCTCATCCTCTAAAAATTGCAGAAGATTCCAGGAGCTGTGGTTTTTTGCAGTGCAGTGGGCACATCTGTGTATTACTGCTTGCTGATGGAAGAATAATGCTGTCCTTCTAAAAATGCCTTTGTTTTACAGATAGTGAGGCCAGAGGAAGTTCGATATGTTAAAAACCAGASGCACTGAATGGATTCTATCAATGCTGTGAAGAAAAGAGGTACCATGAGAACATTTATTTTCACTTTTTTCTGTTGTGTTTGTGTACTCCTTCCTCTGTTTTACATGGATTTTATAAAATGCCATGATTCTTTATATGGGTTTTTAACTTTCTGAAAAGCACTGGCAAACTTTCTCTGATTGATTTAATTGTACATTGCCCTGGTGCTGTCCTTGAACAGGGATGTCTGCAGAGACTTGGACAGAGTTCTTCCCCAGACAAATCTCTTCTAGATTTACTGGTACATGAATACTCCATCATTGTTATGTGCCAGAGAAGATTACATTCCTCTTGTGCTGTTATTGTCCTTTCCCTGAGCTGTCCTGGATGCACCAGAGCTTTACTAAGGAGGCAGACACTGTAACTTGTTCAAAAGAATTTCTTTAATGATGAATTGCCAGAAAGTTTCCTGTGTGACAAAGGATGAAAACAGTGAAGTTTCTGGTGGGCAGAAAGTGATATTTTGCTTCCTGGGAATGYAGGAATGAGTGCCAAGTCAATTCTGATACAGCGCTGGTCAGGGTTATCTTGCAAATGATTTTTATGCTGGTATCCTGTGTGAAGGTCAAACTGCCTATGGCATAGAGCGTGCAAAATAGTGTTTAAAATGTACCCCAGTACAGACAAGTTGTACTTCAGACTCAAGAGGAATTTATGAATAATGCAAAGGACCTCAGATGGCATGAAACATGCATTTTACTTTCTGCAGGGGGTGAAAGCTTACGGCTGAACAGCCACARAATGTGAGAATAGCTGCAGATCAGCAATGTCTGTCACAGGAAAAATAAGTGGTCCTGTTTGCTCAGCAGTTGTTTTCAGATGAGCAGGAAAGTAAATGAGTCAAGAGTTCCCTGCTTCATGTATTTTCTCATGTATCCTTAAAAAAAAGCCACCCTGTGCATCCCAAGTGCGAATGCATCTTTCTCAGAGCTCTTTATCGGTGTAACAGGTTGKTTTTGGCTGTTTGTCCTTATAAAAATACTGAAGTGTAACAAAACTAATTTAAAAACTCCTAACCACCTCCACACATTTTTTTTCTACTGTTGCAAATGAAATGGCTTGTGGGAGAAAAATGCCATGGGAAGACTAAAATGGATCCTGCAGTCAGAAAGCCGTCTGTAGTGAGAAAATYCAAAAATATCTGAGGCAGGCACCAAGTACTGGGATGAGCTGAGGTCTGTGAATGTGGCATTGCTTTCTGAAGGCCATGAGCCTCTTGTTTCCTCATGCTTCTGTTTCTCTGCTTTTCTGTCATGGTAGAGAGGCTGATGTTTATAGAGTGCTTGCTAACCACTGTTGCTTACAGGAAGAGAATTGAAAGGCAGCTGCAAAGGACTTGTGTAGGGTTTGAATGCATGCATTACATAAAGAGAAAAAAATGTGGAAGCTTTATTCTGGATGAATTACCCAACTCCTTTTGTTGGCAAAATGAGGCTGGCATTGTAGTGAATAYTCAAAATACTTGAGACCTGACTTGGAGCTAAATCCAGGAAAACTATGTCCTTAGAGCTTTTTTGCTTCCTGATTCAGAATGGAAAAACTGGCAACTTTCTGTGAAAACTGAAAGGGAGGCCAGGATATTTTCAGAACATCAACCCATACTATGGCTACCTGTTGGTTGGAATTCCAGGTCTCTAATTGGTTTTTGTACCCTGCTTTTCATATGTACTTGTTGCAGATTTCATACCCACACCTGTCATGGGGAGCCACTTCACAGTGCAGAATTAAGCCAGAGAGTCCATCAGTGGCTACAGATTTGTACTGCTGTGAGAAAGCTACTGGTGCCAATTAGATTTCTGTTAGCAGGCATATTTCCTCTGCCAAATTCACTGGGTTTTAATTAGGAACAGGACCCCTTACAACTGGTGTGGTTCAGCATACAATTCAAGCTTGTTTGCATGCTCTTTTCCAGCAAAAGGGCAAACACAACTCTTAGCTTTCAAAGCGGAAAGGAGCGGAACTAGGCAGCTGGAGGCATTGCTTCTAACCTAGAGTGATAATATATGAAATCATTAAATAGTTGAGCTATGCACAAGAAAAATCTGACAGATTTCGTGAAGACAAATCATGACWAACCAATCTAATTTCTCTCTCTGTCAAGGTAATTTTGCCTATCAGATAAGTGGGAAYAAGTGGCTATGATTACAGCTCTTWATGAAAATGCAGTCAAAGAGAAGTKTTCAATGAGTCATTCTCAAGCACGTTTTTGGAGGGAAGAAGGATGTCTTGGATAGTGTCTGGTATACTATCCCAGATGAGTAGTAAGAGCTTGGCTGACTAAAGAGCACATGTATAAAATTTATGAATGACACCATCCTGAAAAGGGTTGCAAGACTCTGGGGCTAAAACTACCTTTYAAAATTATCTCGGTGCCCTCAAGAAATATTCTGAAATTAAAAAAAAAGGTGAAATACAGTAAAAATTGAAGCACTGTAGTTAAAAAGGAGAAACCAAATCCTCAAGTATAACTAAATGTAAATTTACAACTACGTCTCATGTTTTAATTTATCAGGAATGCGTAATGTAATTCTCAGAGCCTTCAGCAGAAAATAATCTAGAATCTACAAGAAGTATCACTGATAATTCAGATGACCATCACTCTTCTCAGTGAACCAGTACTGAAGTGATTCTCTTTGCTGGTTATGATGCTCTTCGCTGCTGGTGGCCATCTGCCTTGAATCCAAGATTYCATGCCTCAGAACTTCTGTCAGGGGCTGAGTTAGCTGAAATTATCCAGCCAGACTGCAATGCATGTCCATTTTTTTTGCATATCTAGACAAGCATTTGCTTCTAAAYCCATCTGTACCAACAGCTGTTGTGCTTTACCTCAGAATCAATYCTGCTTTAATGAGTGGTAGAGCAATTTATTCGTATAGAAATTCCTCAAGTGTACTTTGGAATATATTCTGTTATCTTTCAKGGTTAAAGGAACACATTACAGGTATGTCTGTCACTAAAAAGAAATTAAATGCATAGTTTAATGCAGATATTAGTGGTGCATTTTCCAAGTGGCACTGCATAGAAATGTTAGATAAATGATTGTTTTTATCTACGAAACATTTTTTTTTTATTTGTTTTAGCACCATTGTACCTTGGGCCTTTACCACATGCAAGGGGAAATCATCACTTGCCCAGCAGAGGAGCAGCAGCAGAGCTACCCATCCACATACACCCCCAGAGGAGGCACTTAGTGTTTCACAGCTGTAATAATGCCCTTTAGAGTTGTAGTTCTCCACATGATAAAGGTTAGGAATATAATGAGATACTTGTAAAGAAATGTCAGTAAAATGGATTGAGCTCTGTGGTTTGTTCTGGGTTTATTTATTTATTTTTTTGTAGGATCTTCTTATCAACTCTGCTCAGCAGCAGAGGAAAAAAATCTTTGCTTGTTCAGTGTAATTCTTAACTTTGATTGGTGTTTTGCAGATATACAGCTTCATCCTTCACCCCACCAAAGCAAGCTGTTGACAGAGCCAAGTGGCTTCAAGTGAATCCCCAAGCCACAAGGATGGACTGTGACTGTGAGCCACRGGAACCTGACTCACTCTTCCAAAGGTGTTTCCTGGCTCTTACAACCACTGCCAGTAACCAGAGGCCAAGCTGAAGCTGTGYCAGGATGTGTTTGTGTATGGTTGCTGTACTGAAAAGTTGTGTGTTTTGATTTGCACGTTATCAGCTACTGCTGTCAGTCATTTCCATGCCAGTTGTTGTCTCTATTCTGTGCAATTCCAGTGAGATAACACAGTTGTCAAGCAGAGCAGAATTTGGCACACCATGTTGACCAAGCTTTATTTTAAKCTTTCCCCGTGTGCCATCTCAGTGTGGTGTCTTCATGTCATAAACATGGTTGTTTTTAGCCAAATGTGACTGTTCAGTGCACAAACAAATGTGAATTCRGTACCTCAATAAAATATGGCATTAGTGTTGTATTTTTCTTAATTTATCATTTCCCCCCACCTTTGTTTCCTCAGAAGATTCTCATGAATCTTAAAATTATTTTGATGGCAGAATTTTCTAACAAAAAGTGAAGTTAATAAAGAGTGAATTTTTGTAGTGAAGTTCAGATTTTAACAGCTGTTTGCACTGGGAACGGTATACACAGAAATSAATTGGAGTAAACATTCACAGTTGTTTTGCAGATTCTTCATCAAAACATGTTGGAATATTTCTTGTGAAGCAAACTAAAATTTCCTAGTAGTATTTCAGTCTGGAGCCCTAATTTGTGAAGTGCTGAACTTCCTTCAGGTAATCAAACAGCTCTAATTGCACATTTTATTTCCCCAGAAGTCTTAAGAACAACCAACACAGTCTTAACTGTCATATTTGAGYTGTCAATTCCTTCAAGCTTTCAGTCTTGAAATCATGAACATTAATGATAATGRTTTCTTTTTATCTTGTGAGGGTTCTTTAAGGTAAGCAATCAAAAGAATTTCAAAACTGTTTAAGCATGCTGTTGATATTAAGGCAGTAGATGGATTATACCTTCCATTTGCAGATGAGGCCTAAAATATTTACCTACCATGTCAGTTTTGCCTGTGGTTATATTTCAACTTATTAAGAYAAAATCTTTGTCTGCTGTTTGGGAGTGACATCTTTTTGTGTGATAGTGCTTGAAATTTAAACTCTGTAGCTGTCTGGTATTATGCATCAAAACCCCTAAGTGCTTCTGATCTCMTCTGCTCTTGTGTGAAATATCACACCAGTGCTTCCACATGAAGTAGAGAATGTGGTGTATGTTCTGTCTGCATACAATATCTCACTAAAATGGTATTTGCCGCTGAGGACTTTGAGAAAATTAGAACCACACTGAATGCACAAAAAAAAAATTTAGAACAGCAGGACATAAACCATGATCTTCCAGCCTCACAGCTTTCTTGACTGGGACTGTCAAAGAGCAGAAGGGAAAAGGATTTATGAGTTTTGCCTTCTGGTTTCCTTGGAGGATACCAGCCATGAGATAAACCTTCTGGAAGCATATGCTTCATTTTGAACCACCAATAAAAGATTTATGGAAGATGAAAAAAAAAGTTTATTTAAGTTATTTTGACTTCATACACACTTGGGTCAGCACTTCTTTAATTTTTAAATTTTAAAGATACTTAAAAGTAACAAGATAAACTCAATATTTTGAATGTTGCAAGATCAAAATATGTTTGATTTTTGTCTCTTGGGCAATTTCTAAAACTTTGATTTCTCAAACGAWAAGGTTATTTTCCCCTTCAATCCTGGGCTTTTTATTGATTTTGAGTATCTTAAGACACTAAAGTAAAAGAATAAAAGTAAGAAACAGAACTCAAAAAAAAAAAATGCTTCCAGTTCTTTGCCTATGACCRATGTCTGTTTTTGTTTTCAGTCACTGTGTTTAGGAAAACCCATTTCTTTGCCCTTTTAACTAGTTGTTTTGTAATTGAGGGTTTCTAAATGTCACCAAAAAGTACCTCCCACACAGGTTTGATTAGGGAATTTGCACACTGCCCAGAACAGCTTTCAAATGTAATGTGCAGTCACAACAAGGGTGACTCCCTGTGCTTAATAGGCATAATAAGCCTTAATGCACTTGTTAGACACAGCCCTAATTTTTGCCCTGGGAACATTTTAAGCTTAAATTGCTTAAATTACCACCATAAAGCAAATTCAGGGCTGTTGTGCCGCCAGCAGTACAGAAGCCACTAAAACTCACTGGATTTGCTGTGAGCATTTTTTATTGTTTGTCAAAGTTAAGGAGTTTTTCTAATCATAGGGTCAACATAAAAATTATACAGTAGTGTGAAATAGGCCTCTCAGACTGTGGAATATGGAAAGTGTGTCTGTGCACACCCAGACACCAGCAGAGCAGCAYGAGCAGCAGCTCCTGATGGATTTCACTGGGACCAGGCTGGCTGATTCCCACTGGCAGTTCTGGGGTGGCTGCTTCTTGCTTTGCACTCACCCTGGCAGAAGTGGCAGCTCAGTACAAAGTGATCTACTTTTGTCATGCCYAGCATTCTCTAGATACTGCAATATTAATTGCCTGCTCACTTGTGTTACTTAATCTCACTTTGGGTCTAAGCACAAAGTATCTAACCAGTGTTGSCACACAATCAAGTAAGTAGTGACTTTCATARTTGATCACTTTTAAGTACAATTTCKGAAGGATTTATCCTTTGCAAATTTTAAATTAGGGAAGGAACACCAAAGAAAAGTCACGGTTTTMCTGAATGAAAGTAATGCATGTTTTAATTGTTTTCCTAATATGGCAAATGCTCCATCTTTCAAGTTTTGAAAAAGTCGAGGCAGGAAAAGCATAAAGATTCAGCTACTTCCTTGGAATACAAATGAGAAGCTTTTAAGTTTTATTCTGTTAGTCTGATGCTCATGGAAGTTCTGGCTCTCAATTTGAGGTGAGGAATTTAAAAATCTATTTRTCAAAGAGATTTTAAAGTAATTGTAATTGTAAGGTCAAATASTAGGTGTCTGTGGAAGATCTACTTGTTCTTTTCATAGTCATTTGTTTGGAAGTTTAGGAATTGAAGAAAAAAGTTTGTATTTTAACAGATACTGAATGGTGGGGTAGACATCCATTAATACTGTACTAAAAGCAGAGGATGAGAGAATTCTACAATGAACTACTTTTTGGACCACATGAAGCTATTTGTGGTTCAAACAAAGAGATCTCTGCTGCAGAGAGAAATTGAAAAAGTTGAAAACCTCATCTGARCAACCACCACCAGGATCTCTCCAAGTTCCCAATGCCATTTATTTCTGGAATGGCTCTTTGGAACAGGTGGGTTCTAGTGCTCAGCTGGTTTATWGCACTTAGCATCCCTTTCCTGTCATTCTGAGTGCCGTCTACAGGTAGAGAGAAATTATTCAGAGATGCATGTAGAGTGTTTATAAGAGGTCTTTGTATGGGAAGAATCTACCCAGGCATCTCTGAAATCCTGAAGCCTATGACCAATATACTGAAGTTTAGATTTTCCTGTGTTATAAACCAGATAGTTAAAAACATCTTTTTAGTCCCCTCCATTATTCSTATGCTTTTTCCAGCCCACATCCTTTAGAAAAACTGTTGAAGAGCCTTGCTTTATACACTGAGAGCATATTTTGATGGCAAGAGCAAAACAGAGTGGGGAAATTGATTAGTGGAAACAGGGTAAGTACAAAGAGTTGTATATAAGCACCTTTTTTTCATCTGATGTTTCAGGATACTAAAGCTGAAGAGTCTCTTTTGAAACCACAGCTTCCCTTTCCCCCAGGTTAAAAATAAGCTGGTGGCAAGAGGGTGTTAAGGACCATGATTTTTTTTTCTTTCCTCCATCAGCAGTGCTGAGCATTTTACCAGCTGGGTCATGCATTGTGACCTAGAGATTTTGAGGGAAAATTTTGTGGGTGGTTTGGGCTTTGTTGGCTGTGGATGAGCTTCTGCAGATGAGCATGGAGTTGATGGGGCAGCATCCTGAGCCTGCTGAGCCCTCATGGAGGTAAAACCTGTATCTGCCTGTTCCAAAAGGGTGTACAGAATCAAGAGCCAGGGTTTGTCCCCAGGAACAGAGGGGAGGGAGCAGCTGATTTACGAACATTTTATGTTAATTCTCATGTTCATTACGATAATCTAAATTTCATAGATAACACCTCACAYTGACCTTCTCCTTTGCCATTATTGCTGCCCTCCTCTCTCACACATTGTGCAGCAGGTGAAAACCCTTTAGATATTGATGCAGGGTCAAGAGAGTACAGAAGTGGCTCTGCAGATGGCTTTCATGGACCATAGTCCATCTGGGAAACCATAAAATCCTTGTGGAAACCAATCCTCAGGTCAGATCCATCCCTGCCCAAAGTCATGACTTACTCTAGGGAGAGTGAGATGTTCCTCTTGTTCCTGATGGATGACTGCTTGTTTCTGCAAACAAATGTAAGGTTAAGTATGTTTTCCTTAATGAATGTGCTGAGAAATTGAATCAGTATTTTTGAATCAACCACAGAAATTTCAGTAAATTGGATCTGCTCTTTTTAGAGTGCTGAATCAAAATGTCAAACCAGCACAACTCAATTATAGGAGAGGAAATAAAACAACATGCTGAATATCAGCGAGTTATTTCAAATTGCCAATGCCATAACTACCTGTGGGAAATGAGAACAAACAAGGCAAAGATTCAGCTGGGGGGAAATTGGCTCAGAGCAACTTGTTTGCAAAGTTTCAAAACTCAATTTTTCATCCCATCTGAGCTTTATAGACTGCCTGAACCATTCAGTTACTGATTTTGCTAAAGAGATGTTTTAGCTGCAAAGAAATGAGACAAAGTAATGGAAGACTCAGTATTTGTGCATTTGATTTTTAAGAAGTTAAAGGAACCTGTTCTTTCAGTCCAATGTTGGCTTTTGTTTTGTCCTTTTTAAAAAGAGATCCCAAAATCCTTTCTCCAGAGGAGAAAAYAATGCAGCTGGAAAATGTTTCTTTGCATTTTTAAGCAGAGATGATTCCTTATTTTAATGATGTTGAGAGATATGATATGGTGCAGTGACTTTAATGTCATATGAGATTGTATCTGAGTGTTTAATACCACATGAAAAGCCAAAAATTGCARGTGAGACATACTGCTTTATTCATGATAAAGGCAACAAATTCAGAATCTCTCCACAATTAACAGGTAACTCCAAGAAATAGATTATGTATTCATGCAATGTATGTTTTTAAAAATATAATAGTAGCAATTTGAGCTACAGTTGGGAAATCCAGTGCTGAAGTTGGCGCTAATGACTGCATGTACAGATCAACTCTCAATAATATGTTTCTTCTAAGGGACAAGTTATTAGATCCTGTAATTTGCGAACATTTTGAATTTTTGATTTTCTCCATTGCCATGGGAAGGCAGGAGCTGGGAAAGCAAAGGTCATGAGGACTGGTTAAACCTTTTGGATAAAAAGATTGTGGAGTGGTAACTTGTCTTGTGAGTCCTCACCTCTGCCCCCAAGGATGAGTGCACTGAGCCTGAGCACCAGCTGCTGGTACAGCTGTACAACACCACTGTGGTGAAATCGTGGTTTCCTCCAAACTTTGATGCATTTTTGGGTTCGTGGTTTTGTCTCTGCCTCTTCCCTTTGCTTCTGATTAGCATGTTAATGGGTGGCAGTTGTCATAAAGGTCACTCTAATACACCACAAACAGAGAGCTTGTTCCACTTGAGGAAARTAATATTCCTTGCAGGTTATCAACAGGCAGTGTTTTATATTTATCAGCTTGGCAACAGCAGGTAATGTGAGGAGCCTGAAGAGCCTTCAGTGGTAGCATGTAATAAAGTCAAATAAAGTGATTTTCTAACTTATTCAGAATATCASAGTATCTTAAATAATAATTAAAAAAGAAGTTGTGAAGCACTGAACAGTCAGTCTGTAGTGTTAGACAAAGGATTGGAATAATATTTTAATTCACCAGCAGCAGTTAATAATGAGCCAGCCRAAAATAAAACCATCACAAACCATGGTGTCCTGCACAGCTGCTTTTGGGAATAACATAAGGAAGCATAAGATATCCCAGGACAGAGAAAAATGGAAGTGCAGAATTCTGTTTCAGTGATATAATGGGACTAAATTAAATCTGTAAGTTACTTTTGGGGAATTCAAGCACCCACAGTGGGAATTCRCTGGCAGATCACTGGGCTGTATCTGAGCAGTAGTCAGCATGCATTGCTTATCCCATGGTAACATACAGGGAAAGGGAAACAGACAGGAGCAACAAGCATGGRCAGTAGCAAAAGATGGAGTTAGAGAGGACTCAGAGAACACAAAACCTATGGAAGGCATTGCTCAGTCTAATCATTTACACCACAGATAAAATGTTTGAAATTGTGTGGATATGTCCTGTGGAGGACCCTGGCYAATAGACAGCCATGTCGAGCCTCATCATAACCTGCAAAAATTTCTGTGGTTCAGGCTTGTTTGGGTAAGATTGTGAGGTGCAATGCCAGGGATAGACCTTCTGTTCCTTTGCACTGTTTGAAAAGCATACAAAGGAAGAAGAAAGGAAGGACCAGGTAAAACGATTCCCTACCCTGGGTTATTGATCCAGAGCGGGTGCAGATGTGCTGCTGTAGCAAAGAATTCAGTGCAGGTTGTTTCCATGTTTCCTTCAGAAGCTGCCAGAGCTCTGCTCAGCAAT